TTTTTTTTTTTTTTTTTTTTTTTTTTTTTTTAACTACTTTCAGATGAGTGGCGTGGAGGCAGACGATGTAATTGCAACCATAGCAGTTCGTGCAGATGCCGCCGGCTTCAAGGTGATATCAAATGCAATTTTTGGTCTTTCCTTTTCTCACCTCTTTTTTTTTTTTGTTCATTGTATGCGTTGAAAGTTTGAGACTCAAAAAAAAAAAAACATTGTGCAGACGATGGAACTCATAACATTTGCCCTGCTCCATTGTCATTGCTATACTAAACATTTTTAATTTATAAAAAAGCAGTGGTGGACAATTGCCCAGGCGGGCAGGGAGGCACCCAGCTGGGAAATCTGGGCAGGTCAGGAAAGAGGCCAGGATCCCCCCCCAAAAAAAAAATTCTGACGTCAGGCCAGGACTGCACTTGGCCTGAGCAGTCAGAATCCAGCCTTACATTCCCATTTGGTGAATTGGGGGATATATACAAGGATGAAAACATTGACAAGGGATTAAAGTTCATTAAACTTTAAAGGGGTATATATGGCGGTATATCTTAGCTCTTGGTTTCTATTTTATTGTCATCGAATCATTTTGTAATTAGTGTATAGTACACTGTACACAGTACTATACATTGTATAGTGCAACTTTACACAACATATCTTTTCCAGAATCTTTCTTTTTGTTATTTTAAAAAGTTTTAAATATTTTGCCCTGGGGCTGCCCCAGACCCTGCCCAGACCTCTCCCGGCCAGGTCCGCCCAGGTGGTACCCGTGCAGACAGAGCCAACCCGGGCTGCCTGGGGAACATCACTGTAAAAAAGACTCAAAGTAGTAAAAACTACTAAAAAGTAGATTTTTTTTTCCCTTTGTTTTCCTTTTTTCGTTCTCTTTTTCTCTACGGTGTAGGGTGTAGCGTTCAGGGTTGTGTGTGTGTGTGTGTGCGTGTGTGGGTGTGTGGGTGTGTGTGGGTGTGTGTGGGTGTGTGTGGGTGTGTGTGGGTGTGGGTGTGTGCGCACGTGCGTGCGTGTGTGTTAGGTAAAGTACATTACATGTGCAAGGCTGAAGAAAGGCAAGGAGCCCGGGGGGGAGGGGAACGTGAGGATAGTGACAGACTGTTTTGTCGGACTTGCACCACTTTTTTTTCGAGTTATGGACTCCTTTAAAACCTCTGTTGTAAGTGGACAGGCAGCGGTCGCATTGCAAGCAGCGTGGCAAGGGCTAGGCAACAAGGCACTGAGCAGCAAGCAAGGCACATAGGCTGGAGGGCACAGGGGAGTTGAATGGGCATCCGAACAACAAGGCAAGCAGGAAGGCTGCACAATGAGCAGCAGGCTACAAGGCAACAAGGCACTTAAGGGCAAGAAACACGGCATCTCAGAAACAGGGCACGGGGACACGGGTGGGAGTCAAATGACAAGCCAAGCAGCAGCGCGGGACTGATAGCAGCAGGCAACAGGGCAGCAAGGCAGCAAGGCAAGCAGCAGGCAGCAAGGTAAAAGGCAGCTATTGCCTTGGCACTATAGCAATATAGCTTAGCTTTACATTAAAAAATAGAAAGGGAAAAAAGAACTGGCTTAGGTACACAAACGGCACTTCTTCAGTGGAATAAGAGCGAGGAAAGGGAAAAAAAAAAAAAAAAAAAGAGAAGTGAAAGGAAAAGCCCCTAGCCATGCTAACCTTCAGTGTGAGCCTTGAAAATCCTGAAAACCGAATCCCAGGGGTGAATTTTGCATGAGAAAGTTTTTTCCCCCCCCTTAAAATTTTCCGCCCTTTTTTTTTCTTGTTTCAATTTTTTTTTGGTCGTTTTTTTTTGGGGGGGGGGTTCTTGTTTCATTGTTTTTCCTTTTGTCGTTTTTCTCTTTTTGTTCTTGTTTCTTTTTTTTTTTTTTCCCTTTGTTTTTCTTTTTCTGTTCTTGTTTCMCTGTTGGTTTGTGTGGCCTCCACTCTATGGATTTGTGGCAATTTCACTTTGTGTTTTTCTTTTCTCATTTCTTGTTGTTGTTTTTTTTAATAAGTTTACAAGTTTTTTTTTTTTTTTTTTTTAAATTTTAAAGGGGTTGTTTTTTTCTATAAAAAGTAGTAAAAACCTAGGCTGTTTTTCCGGACGCCCAGGCACCCACCTTGTTCCCGGATACACGCCCAGGTGCCCGGCCGGGCATGACCCCCGGGCAAAGTTCCGGGCAGCAGCGCAAAAAACAAACAAACGAAAAGGGTCACATCAGAATTCCTCACCGAATCGGAGATAAAAAAGAAAATAACAAAATCACACTAAGGCACCCCCCTTTAAACCCCCTTAGCTCCTTCAAAACAAATTTATACCCCCCTTCCCCCCCCTTGACAGCCAACTCCCTGAAAATGAAACGAGGCCGGATTTGGGGACCTCTGGGAGAGTGCATAAACTGGCATAAAGGCTTTTTTTTTTTTTTTTTTTTTTTTTGCATGCCCAGGTACCCGGGGCGTCACGCCCGGGTGCCCGGCCGGGCATGAAAATCTTCCTAGTTAAAAACCCTAATGTGCTCATCCAGCGATTTTCGTTAATTTATTTTTTCCTGACCACCGATTTTTGCTATCGTGCAACTTATGTGGGAAAAGTCTTTCAAATGTTTCCAACTTTCCATATATTCCATATATTTTGGTTATTACTGTATTAATGTGTATTTGCTAATTCAGTAATTCAGACTAATTCTAGACAGTGCATTTTTATTTTTTTTGCTTTTTTTCCCTGAGCCCATGCATTTCCTGTCTTTTGGCTCTGCCTCCATCATTAAAAAAAAATGAGATCTTGAATTTTTGAGTGTTTAATTTTCCACTGGATGTGGCAGGTTCTCATAGCATCGCCGGACAAAGACTTCTTCCAGATTCTCTCGCAAGGGATAAGCCTTCTTCGACCTGATCTCAAAGGCCCTGGGTAAAGCTCCCCACATTTATGGATCCTTTCCGTTTTCAAAGTTTTTCTTTTTCTCCTTTTGTGTCACATCACATCTATAGAATAGTATTGAATCAATCGATCCTTTCAGCATCGCATTGCTATCTGTTTGTGGGACAAACTTAATGTAAGCTTTGACAAACTGGAGGAGGTTCTTTTTTTGCAAAATTACTTTATATCTATCTATCTATATATATATATATATATATATATATATAGAGAGAGAGAGAGAGAGAGAGAGAGAGAGAGAGAGAGAGAGAGGAAACACAAATTCTGAGATAGGGCATGCAGACTAAAAGGAAAGTTAGAAAGACATTAAGGAAAGTTACCTAGCGGCAGAAATCCTAGACTACAGATATGGATGGATTAAAGTATAATACCTCTCTCTCTCTCTCTCTCTCTCTCTCTCTCTCTCTCTCTCTCTCTCTCTCTCTCTCTCTCTCCCCTTCTGCACAGCAGCAGGGAAGCAGTTCGTCAACTCCTGTACAAGAAAATAAGCACCAAAAAAAAAAGGAAAAACCTTTTGTTCCAGAAAGGAAGAACGGAGCTGTCCCGGAATGGAAGCACGGAGCCATCCCAGAGTGCTGGGACCAAGGAAACAGTTCATCTGATTCAGCTCCTGTGTAAAAAAAAAGGGAAAACAAAAGAAAGGAAAACCCTGGTTCCAGTCTCCTCTGCCGGAAATGAGCAGACATAGCGGACCGTATTTTTTGCAGCCTTATAACTTGGCGAGTCAAGAGAAAGCAAAAGTTAAAAAAAAAGCAAACAAACAAAAAGAGATGGGGAAAAAAAATCCGAAAATTTCAAAAAAAGAAAGTTGTGGTGTGTTCATCTGTGCTGCACACACCTCCTTATTCCTTGCATGTTTGGAATCAGGAAATTCGTGGACAAAAAAAAAGAAAAAAAAAAAAGAAAAAAGAAAACAGGAAATGCGGGGACACCTCTTCGTTCGTTGCATGTGTGGAATGAGGAGGTGCGCACATGGCGCCCTGTCTCTTATACACATCTAGATGTGTATAAGAGACAGGGGGGGGAGGGGGAAGGGCATGGCTTTTTAAGCCTTTCTGGGTCTCCTTGCAAAACCCGTAGCCTGCGCTCCCTATTCCCTCTTCCCACCAAGACTGTAATTTGTGAAGGGTCTTTTGGAAGGCCCCCACCCCATGTATTTATCATCGCAACCATGGTTGTGGTACTCCGTCCCAATAACCCCCCCCCACCCATTTGTGAAGGGTCTTATGGAAGCCTCCCACCCCATGCATTTATCATCGCCGCAATGGGGCGGGGGGCTCGAACCCCACACCAATGGGTATGGTACTCCGTCCCAATAAAACCGACATAGTCACTGAATCCGAAACGAATATTCATCTGAAATATCAGTGCGACGTGCGTTCTTTTTGTTTGTTGGAATGATACTACTATCTTAGTTTTTCTGATGAAGTATCTCGTTCCTATCAACGAATATTCTCTGTACTATCAGGTGAGGTATCATCGACGGGTCAAGGATCTTTCGCCTGATAGGAATGAGATACTTCATCAGAGGAGAGCACCGAAACGAAGACAAGAAAAAAAAACATACAAACAGGGTTGCCAGGCCGAACATACGGAAGCCCCTAAGCTGACCCCCGAACGTTCGGGCGTTCGGGTCCCCAACCTGAAGGGGTTCGGACCCCGCAAAGAAAATATTGTGGCACCTAAATATTATTATTCGTTTCTGAATTGTTTTTGGTGAGTTCTTTGTGATGTAAGGTATGTCCCTCTTAATTTTGAAGCTATTTTGTTTTGCCAAAAAAAAAAGGAAAAATCGGCAAAGATGGTGGTGTCAAAACTTGCTTGCCCACTCACTAATTTGTTTTTTCTCTCTTTTCACTTTTTGTTTTTCCTTTATTTCGGGGCATGAAAAAAATTATTATTTTTTCAAACTTTATTTGTAGATTCTCTCTTATGTAAGATACACATACATAAAATTTCATGCCATTTGCCACAGCCAAAACAAAATGAAAAATTGCCAAAGATGGCGGTGTCAAAAACGTGCTCGCCCACTCAATAATTTCATTCTCGTTTTATTTTTTTTCTAATTTTCATTCTTATTATCTATTTTTAGACTTTTAGTATTTGATTTTTATTTCAAATTTGGTAAAGAATTTGGATGTAACGTCGAGGCAAATGTTGTTTAGTTTATTCTTCTGCATAACATGTATTTTTTTCAGATTTTTTGGAATTCCTTTTTTTTTTGGGGTCCGCGTTCGAGAGGATAACGAACGGTTGGGCGTTCGGGTTCGGACGTTCAGCCCATCCCGAACACCAGCAACCCTGCATACAAACGTAAATTTTGACCCCCAAACCCTAATTTCAGTTTTGGACCCGTTAGTCAGCAGCTGAAAGTGGGGGTAATCCCCCCTCCGTTAACCACTTGTGCATCAGAGGGGTTTGTGTTATATGGAATATCACCTGAAATTTGAGGGAACATATCAAATGCAAGAATAGTGACAAGGTTCACTAAGTTTTTTTTTTTTTTTTTTTTTTTAACTATACTCTTCTCTCAATTTTTCCTCTCACTACCTACCTACCACTACTCCTACCTATACGGGGAAACCCGTAAGCAGAGCCGTGTTTTTACGGCCCCTCGAGCCTGCAGGATACCAGCAAGGGGACGGCCGGTAGCACCAGGGATAAAGCGGACCAATCCCCCGTGCCTCCCCTCAGGCCCCTCCCCTACGAACATAGCAGACTCTGCTTGATGCCAATCGGGGGATCCAGTGGTCTATCTCTTGGGTAGCAGGTGCCAAGTAAGCCCAGGAAGCCATGAGGCCAATGGGGATTGAACCCATGACCTCCTGAATGCCACTTGCGAGCCTTACCAACTGAGCTAGGCCGCTGGATGTTCACTAAGTTTCACTGGATGCTTTTTTTTTTTTTGTGGGGGGAGGCAGGGAAGTGATTGACTGTCTGTTTGGTTTTATAATTTTTAACAAATCTTTTTTGCTGTATTTTACTCTTTTATTTGTTCCTTGTGTTTCCTCTTCTGTTTTTTTTTTTTTTTTTTTTCCGGAGAAAAACGGGTTTAGTCCACGGGGGGGCAGGGGCATATACGGATACACATACACACAAGGGGAGTACGCAGTCACAAAGTGACACACAGCATCAACAGAAAAGGATTTGAGTATGCATTATTGTTTTCATCTGACTCATCAGGATTTGAAGTTTGAAAACAATAATGTCATGGACTAAACCCGTTTATCAACAATAACATGTGTATAGTACACTGTGCAGTGTGTACCATTCAGTCACGACAAGGCAGGCACGGGACTGTAGTTTTGAATCCTCCAAGTTCCAACAAGTTTGCAGCTTGCTTTCTTTCTCTTTTTTTTTTTTGGTTTGTCACACCCGGTTTTTAATTTGTTTCGTTCATGCTTTCTTTTCTTTGCTTATTTATGTTAAGCATCCTTTGTTGTTGTTGTTGTTGTTCCCCCCCTCTCCCCTCTTTTTGCTGTTACCCCTTGGAATCAAAAATGCACACAGGGTTGTCCCATACGATCTGTCAAACTTTCAAGAACGCTTTGGAGGGCTGTCTCCACTGCAATTCGTGGATGTTCTTGCATTAATGGGTGACACAATCGACTCGATTCCAGGTGGGCTGTGTTATTAACTTATTATTAATAAAAGGGCCTTTACCCGAAATAGGCCTCAGGTCTTGTCAAAGTAACGCAACACAGACCTTGTAAAAGTAAAGCATTGTGAAAAGGTATCTCGCCAGGGCTCAGAAACGTGAAAGCAGGTCAAAGGTCAAGTTCTCTATCAACAGGCATATCTAAAGCTAAGGCAAAGGGCATTGTCMAAAGACTTACCTGTTCACGAGGAGATGTGTATGTCATGCCTGTTCGGGTAAGAGTGTGTCTGTACGTGCAGGCAGTGTACCTGTTCGTGCAAAGTAAAGTGTCTGCTCAAGCAGTAAATGTGTCTGTTCGTTGAGAGTTGTGCCTGTCCGAAAGTAAAGTCAATAGGCACAGTCCCAGTTCTGGTCTRAGTCCAGGGGTCAGTCCAGATCCAGACTTTCAAGTCCAAATTCAGGCCGGGAGGCCTCAGCAGCAGTTGAACTTCATTGGGACTCTACTGGGACACATGCAATGCAGGGTCTGGGACAAANGGGACTCTACTGGGACACATGCAATGCAGGGTCTGGGACAAAAGGAAGGCTGGATTGAGCCAATGCAGACCCAGCGAGGAGTATAAAGGAGGCAGCCAGCCTCATTCCTGCCAGATCTCCACTGGCTGTATCAGCGTGGAAGTGCTGAAGCACTTGTGCGTTAAGTCAGTAGKAGCAGCGCTGGAGGAAGCAGATGCGCTGAGTGAGGGAAGAGGATTGCATGCTGGAAATGATGCAGCCATAGCTGCTCAGGAAGTTAGTATTAGTATTAGAGGGTTAGTAGTGGTTAGCTATGAGTAGTATCCAGAGTAGATCCTCGTGAGTGAAGAGTGTGTATGCATCGTAGGAGGAAGGGACTGAGGCTGAAAGGGTTCATTCAAGGTTCGGCTATGGAAGATACTTACCTGGGTTAGATGTGACTTGCAGAGGTGGCACTGAAGAAGTAGTGACCACATTGACGACTTGAAGATTGTCTGCAGATGTAGCGTTGATACATTGGAGGCCATATTGATGAGTTGATAAGAGATTGGTGTTGCACTGATGAGCGCTGGACTCAGGGGAATTTTGAAACACTTTGTATTCATAATTCTGATAATATAAGTTGTGAAACTCGGTCCTCTTCTTCTCTACCTTTGTCTATGGTTGAGACTATTGATCACTGCGTGTGAAGATGATGCATGACATGTACACATTTGCGTGAGATGGTCCCTAGGACCCATGCATTAATTTATTACTACTGTTATATCAATTTTTTCCCTGACTAATGTGCCTATGCAGATGTCCCTGAGCTTTTCTGTTTTCCAAGTTTTTTCAAAGGCTTTTTTTTTTGGGGGGGGGGGTAAAGGCTCCGGCCTATTGGTCAGCACGTGCAACTGGTGGAGAACGGGTCGTGTATCCCAAAAACGGAAAGTTTGAAATTGCTGTCTTTGGAAAGTGGGGAAGCAGGGTCAGCATTCCCTTGTTATTATTATTATTATTATTATTATCATCTCATAATGAGTAATTGAAAACCATTCTTCGTCAACCAAATAGACGTCATATTCTTGTGCCGTCTCTCTCTAATACAGCAAATCGGTGTTTCCAGAATTGTGCCGATGCTGACAACACCACCTTGAAACACATCTTCTTTCTGGAAAAATGATGAGAGAGAGAGAAGACCTAAGATTGTTGAGCGCAATAGGACCTGAACTAGTGATCTGTTTATCGACAGCTTCATTCGTGTACCGTTCAGCCCCAAAACGGTTTTAACAACAACGTTAAGAATCAATGATGAGGAGGAGGACAAGGAGGAGGAGCATCATGATGGCAATTAGGATGTCAACATGGATGATGATGATGATGATGATGATGATTAGAATGATGATGAAGATGATGACGATGATGGACTTCATCATACCATCATGATGACCACGACGATGATCATCATCATCGCCATCATCATCATCATCGTCATCATCATCATGGTAACGTGGGCGATGGATCATGGTCAAGATGAGGAGGAGGAGGAGGAGGAGGACGAGGAGGAGAAGGAGGAGAAGGAAGATGGCGAGAAGGGGGACAGTGTGGGAGGCACTGATGATGATGATGATGATGATGATGATGATGGTGATTGGAAACTCCACTCTAGCCTCTTTCCTCGCCCGTTTCCACCAAGGAACCGACGAGATATGCATTCTCCATCTCATCCCGTTCACCTTCTTTCCCTTAATTGCAGCCTTAGTTAATACACGAGTACAATTAAATAATCAAATAAATATCATACAATTAGATATAAATAAAGAAAAATCAAACTTAGATAATATAATATAAACTTAAAGAATCCGGTGTGCTGTGCGGCATGTGCCCTTGTTTCAGGTGTAAAAGGCATTGGCCAGAAAGGAGCGATCAAGCTTGTGCAACAGTACGGTAAATGCTAAATACCTGAAACTCCAAAACTCAAATGCTCTCTTGCTCTTTATCTATTTTCAGGCAATCTGTTGAGATTTCAAAAATGACGTTCCCAATTTGCAGCTACCCAGTGGCAATTAGTTAAGTGATCCCACTCATACCTCCCAATTTGCTTCTCGCCATCCTTCACAAGGCCAGCATTTCCCAATGGTGTCATCCTTGCTTACCACCCAACGGCGTTCCCAATGGCGTTACCGATGGTGTTACCGATGATGTCACCCTCTCAGTCACCCAGTAACTGTGTTCCCACTGGCGTTACAGATGGTGTTACCGATGATGTCACCCTCTCAGTCACCCAGTAACTGTGTTCCCACTGGCGTTACCGATGGTGTCACCGTCTCAGTCACCCAGTAACGGTGTTCCCAATGACGTTAGCAATGACATTACCCGTGGTGTCACCAGTGGTGTCAATGGGTTACTGGTGGTGTTACCGGTGGTGTTACTGGTGGTGTTACCGGTGGTGTTACTGGTGGTGTTACAGGTGATGTCAATGGTGTTACCAGTGGTGTCAATGGGGTTAACGGTGGTGTCAATGGTATGACCAGTGGGGTCAATGGTGTTACCGGTCATGTTACCGGTGGTGTTACCAGTGGTTTCA